CGTTAATCTTGTAACCTGCTACCTTGCTGAATTCTTTGATCAACTCTAGTAGTTTTTGTGTGGACCTTTTAGGGTTTCCTTTTGATTGACTTCAGCATCTTACCTTTTAATTCCCACTCTAAGTTTTGCTTTCCTGCTGATCTTTGTGACTTGCCCATTCTCATGGTTGTATAATCGGTTTTCCAGGGTGGACCCCCTCTTTCTGTGCACAGCTGCCCCTTCTACAACACATACACTGCTTAGCATTCCTCACACGTGCTCCACACATCAGACACCCGGGAAGCCTTTGAGTTGCCAGTCACTCTTCCTAAGGGACCTTCTGGCTGCATGGTTGTTGCCTCTTACTCTCTTACTCCATCAGAACCATGTACAAGAATGGAAGCACAAAGAGGAAGGCATTATTAATATGAGAACAATTGCCCCTGGACGCTTAGAGACAAGGGAAAACATGTAACCTTTGGAAACATTATTCAAAACAAAACCAACCACATTCACTGTAGCAATGGCTCCCTGGTGTCAGTCAGGGAAAATCTCTTTAAAGAAGAAATGTAATCAGGTATGAATTTGGAAGGGTGGCCACAATGATAACAATACTGTATAGTATAATGAGCAAATTTTTTTGCACAGTAGCCAACGATTTCCTAAACCATATTTTGATATGGTTAATTTTTATGAAACCAATCCATTTGGAAAACAGATATATGAGTTTAAAGTTATTTCTAATTCCACATCCAAACACAACTGCAGTTAGCATTGTGGTGTACAGTGTTTACTTCCATTTTTTTCTTTCTGTTAATTTACTTAATCAGTGGGAATTTTAGCATATTTTCAGATTTGTATTCTGCCTTTTTTTTGTATTCTGCTTTTTGGCGTTAACATTCTATGAGGATTTATTTTGTGTTGCTATCACGTTTTGTGTAATATTTTGGTTTGTTTGGTTTTTTTTAGATCAACAAGTCTGTTATGAAAAAAATGGATGCATTTTATAAAAAAGGAAACAATCCCTATCAGGACACTGTGGGTGATCTGCTGAAGTTCATCCGGAATTTAGGAGAACACATTAATGAAAAAAAAAATAAACAGTAAGAATTTTTTCCCTCCTATAAGTCATACATCAGCTGAGAATAATTTCAAAATTCCAGTTCTGGATTTATATCTGCTGGTTAATGGAAAGAAGAAAATTTATTCCAATGAAAGAAAAGTAACTCCTCCCCTCTGTTTGGAAAAGGGCCGTCACAAGGGTCTCACCGTCGACAGTGGACATGCCCAGCAGGGGCTGGTCTTCCATTTCAGCCTTGGCTGAGCTCCATGGGAGAGCAGGCCGGTGACTCCCTGGTGTGAAGAAATGGGGGACTGAGTGGCTGGGCAAAGCGAACGTAGTGTTATAAAAGTAGCCCCATGTTAGTTAAATCAACTTTTGCTACCAAAAGTCTTGGCTGCAAATTCACAAAAAATCTTGTAGCTTTCCAGGACCCTGGGATTTGGGAATTGTAGCTAAGGGACTGTGGAATTGCATCATCTCCCTTGTATGGACAATAAAACTGAGATTCATAAAAATTAGCAAATTAGTTGGCAGAGTTCACTCAATTAGTTGGAGCGTCAGGAAATGAAATTTGCTCTGTCTGATAAAGCAAAGTCCTGCTTTATTCTGCTGTAGAAACCAGGGGAGCAAAGAGAGTTCTAGGGCCACATGCTGGAACAGGTGGGGGAGGGGAGTGGAGTACGGGACAAGCATGTCAGAATGTTTATGTTTCATTTCAGGATGAAGTCAACAATTGGAGAACCTTCCCAGTATTTTCAGGAGAAATTTCCCGATCTGGTCATGTATGTCTATACGAAACTACGGAACACAGACTACAGCAAGCATTTTCCAAAAACTCACCATCCAAACAAGCCTGGGTGTGATGGAGGTGGTGGTGATCAGCAGGCTGGCCAGCCCTAGTGCCCTTCTGAGTTGTTCAAGGAGCTTATTAGCTGTGTAATCCTGGGCGAGTCACAGCTCTCTGGGCCTCTTAACTAACCTGGTTGCTTGTGAGAGATGAGTTGCACGGCTGTGTCAGTTCCTGGTGCAGTGTCCAGCATCCCCCACATGTTTACAACCAAAAAATTATACACCCAAACTTCTCTAGTCCTTTTTACCCGCAAAGCTTAGTGGCAGGAGCTGGGAAGGCATCCTGCTAAGATTCCTCTTGTCAATTGCTCGAAAGGAGTGAGTTCCTAGGCCGTTAATGCTGTATGTTTTACATCAATTACCTCATGTAATTCTTCCAACAAACTTTCAAGATAGGAGTAACATCCCCATTTAGGAACTGAAGAGCCAGAGAGGCTCAGAGGGTTTAAACCACTTGCCTCAGATTACACAGAGGGCCGTATAAATGGATATGGTGTTACTCTTCCCTCTCACTCGAGCACCTTAGTGCTTAATTACTGGCTCAGCTCTTCTGGATGAGACCCAGAAGGAATATGTCAGGGCAGCTCTGGGTGGCTCATGCATTCGTTCATTCACTCCATTTATCCATTCAGCATTTTTTGAGCACTGGTTAGTGTAAGTCTGTGAATTCTATTCCTTCTGGAATCACCTGTGCTGGTTTTCTATGACGTTAAGGCAGTATTTCTCAACTGTGGGCAATCTTGCCACTCAGGGGCCATTTGGCAGTGTCTGGAGATACTTGGGGCTGTCAGAGCTGCGGGGAAGGGGTGTTACTGGTCTGATAGAGGTCAGAGACGCTGCTGAACATTCTACGCTATGCACAGGAGCCCCTGCCCTCCTGCAATACAGAATTATCTTGCCTAAAATATCAGTGGCACTGAGGTTGAAAAACTCTGCTTTAAGGGGCTGTGACGCCTTTCAACTGGCTGGGGGCCCAGGACCGTGAAGTGTGTCGAGGAGTGATTTGAATTTAATGTCTTGCTTTTGGCTCTGTAGTGAGACAGTTCCAGGGTCACCTCCTCAGGAAGTCCTCCTCCTTTTCAGAAAGAGCCCAAAATACTGGAGTTTTTTTTTTTTCCCCAATGCCTTCCCTCCTCACACCCCAGTCTGAGTGTCCTCTCTGGCTCTCTTGCACCTGTCAACACACCACAGCGTGCTTCTCTCCACCTTGAGCATGACTCTTCTCCACTGGAATCTAAGCTCCTTAGGGTCAATGGTCTACAGATTTTTGATTTGTATTGTTAGTGCATAGCAAAATGTCTGCTGCACGGTAAGAATCAACGTTTATCAAGAAATGAATGAACCATCTTCATACATGAGTAATAACGCACGCTTACATTTTGATGGTGCTTTATAATTTATAAATTACACCTGCCTATTTTTCTCTCTTTTAGTTTTCAAAACAATCCCATAAGTGTTGCAATCCTCATTTTGCACATGAGGAAACTAAGGTTAGAGACGTGGTGATTTACTCTAAGGCAGAGCTGGGAAGTGTCACTGTCTTGACTTGAAAAGCTTTTCTGACATGAAGCCTGAGGTCTTTCCACTTACCCTCGCTGTGGC